AGACAAGCCAGGAACGCCCGAAGACGGCCCAAGAGGCTCCCAAGAAGCCCCCAAAGGCCCCCCAAAACCCTCCAAGAGGACCCAGGAGCTCCCAGGAGGCCCCAAGAGTGCCCCAAGAGGCGCCCAAGAGGCCTCATCCTCCTCATCCTTCTCCCCCTCCTCCTCCTCCTTCTCATCTTTTTTCCTCATCCTCCCCCTCCTCCTCTTCTTGCTCCCCCACGCGTTCCCCGAAGTCTGTTCAAACCGACTCGGGGAACAACTGGCCCGTTAGCTTGGCCAAGCTCTGGCCCAGCTGTCGGCCACAGAAGCGCTTCCAAAGGGGCAGGGGGTGGCGGTGATTCGCCGTAGGCGTCTTCGATCTGCCGCCCCCTGTTGGCTTGCCAGAAGTGTGCCCGGCGTGGTAGATCCTCTCGGTCTGGGTTTTGGTTCTTTTCCAAAAGAACTCCCCCTGGGCCTCCAGCGCGACCCGCCGGGGTCCCGGGAAGGTGCTCAATCCGGAAAAAATCCTCCAAGATGGCTCGAGATGGCGCCAAGATGGCCACGTTGGCCCAAGATGGCCTCCAGGATGGCCTCCAAGTTCGCCCAAGATGGTCCAAGACGGACTCATGACGGCCCAAGAGAGTCCAAGACGGCCCAAGACGGCCCAAGAGGCCCCCCCCAGAGGCCTCCTAGACGGCCCAAGAGGCCTCCAAGAGGTCCTCCAGGAGAGCCCGAAGAGGCCACAATCATTGATGTTCCTTAGGTGTTCAACCGGTTTTTCGTATTTGCTCCTTTCCGGCTTTCCGACGACCCAAGACGGCCCGAGAGGCCCCCAAGACCGCCCCCAGAGCGCCAAAGAGGCCTCCAAGATGGCCTGAGGACTGCCCAAGAAGCCCCCAAGACGGCCCCAAGAGACCCCCGAGACGGCCCAGGAGGCCTTTAAGACTCCTAAGATGGCCTCTAAGACGGAGCACTCCAAGAGGGCCCCAAGTCGGCGTAGAGAGGCCCCCCAAACGGCTTCCGACGGCGTCAGACGGGCCAGGAGCCCACTAAGACGGCCGAAATTGGCTCGAAGCTGGCCCAACACGGCCCCAGAGGCCTCCAAGGGGGCCTCCAGGAGGGCCAGAGGAGGCCAAACACATTGATGTTCCTGAGGTTTTTGCAGGATTGTGGTATTTGTTTTTTGTCGGCCTTCCGACGGCCCGAGACGGCCCAAGAGCCCCCAAAGATAGCCCAAGAGGTCTCCAGGATGGCCCCAGCACGGCCCAAGAGACCCCCACGACGGCCCCAAGAGGCCCCCAAGACGGCCCAAGAGGCCTCCAAGACGCTCAAGATGGCCTCCAAGACGGCCCTGGAGCACCCCAAGAAAGCCCCAAGTCGGCCCAGAAAGGCCCCTAAGACGGCTTCCGACGGCGTCAGACAGGCCAGGAGCCCACCAAGACGGCCAAAAAGGCCCCCGAGAAGCCCCCAAAGGTCCAAGAGGCTCCCAGGAAGCTCCCAGGAGGCCCCAAGAGCGTCCCCAGAGGCTCCCAAGATGCCCCCTCCTCCTCCTCCTCCTCCTCCTCCTCCTCCTCCTCCTCCTCCTCCTCCACCTCGTCCTCCTCCTCTTGATCTTCCCCGCCATCCTCCCCCACATGTTCCCCGAAGGGTTTCCACAACGGTTGGGGGAACATGTGGCCCGATACCGTGGCAGGGCTTTGGCCACAACGCTCGGCCACATGGGCGATTCTAGAAGGCGGGGGGCGGCGGTGATTCGCCGTAGGCGTCTTCGACTACTCTGCTTAGTCATAGTAAGCGCCCCGTGGTGCAAACACTGGTTGTGGAATCTCCACTTACATGCCTGATAAGGGGACTACATGTCTTCCCAGAATGTGGCTGGCCGGGGACAACACCTTTTCTTCGAATGCCCATGCTCATTCTTCGCGTGTCCCCAGTCACCCTGCTTTCACAACACAACTGCCGAACCTCCTGTGCTGATGCAAGCGTGCGCATTCGGCTCCTCCAGCTCGGAGTCAGCGTTCATCCGCATGGAAATAACACTCTGGCTGAAATTGTTTAGCGTTCCCTGCCGCCCACGCAATACTACTCAAAGCATATGCGCATGGCGCTAGGACAGGGATAAGGAGACGCATTCCACCTCCACGAGCAGAGCATTACACTGGCAAGACATGTTAGCAACCACAATACGTTCCCAAACAATCACCGACGTGGAACGCGGCTGCGACAAGTCGCAACATGACCGACAGGAACAAGCATCAGACACTTAAACGGCACATGCGGATAAAGCATACCTCATCCACAACTTCTGCCGCAGACAGCCCTTCCAACGTCGCATCATGAGAACGGCAACTCCCTGCTCAATAGTTCCAATCCGCGCACTGCACACATCTAGCCCATATTATGCACAGGCCCTCCAAATATTCGGCCAAACCCTACTGAACAATGACTGCTGCAAAGTCCACCACGGACGTTCTCGAAGAGAGCAGGATCCTCTTCATCCTTTCCTCCTCTTCCTCCTCCTCCTCCTCCTCCTCCTGCTCCTCCTCTTCCTCCTCCTCCTCCTCCTCCTCCTCCTCCTCCTCCTCCTCCTCCCCCTCCTGCTCCTCCCCCTCCTGCTCCTCCCCTCTCCTCCTCGCCCATGCCGCTGTTCCTCCTTCGCCCCCACCTGTGACACACGTCGGATCGCCCTCGGGCCAACTCACCCGAATCGGTATTCCGCTTGCACCGGTGCCCCCCTCGCACGGGTGCAGCCCTTGCATGTTGCGGCGTGGAAAAATGCAAATGCTGTCTGGAACGGTGCATGCAATCTTCTGAGGACCCCCCCGCCTCCGGGACACGGACACACCTTGCTGCATGCATCTCCTCTCCTCCCAGAGTCTCTGCCCCGAAAGCAAAAACGGACATGCGCGCTCCCCAAATTCCAAAACGACCGAGGCAAGCCATTGCCAAGATGGTCTAAAATGTCTCGGGGACGGGCCAAGACGACCAGAAAGACCGCTTCAGATGGCTTCCAGACGGCCCAGAAGTGTGATCAGAAGAACCCAGTAGGGCCCAGAGGAGACAACATCATGATTTTCCCTAGGGTGTCTTTCAACTGGTTTTGCCACTTTCACCTTTTCATGCTCCATTCAACGATTGACGGCCTGGAGGCCTCCAGGAGGGCCCCAAGACGGGCAGCAAGAGGGCCCCGCATGGCTCTTCAGCCCCCCACGACGGCCTCAAAAGGGCCCAGGACGGCACCGAAGCGGCCCCGAGGGAGCCCCGGGCCGGGGCAGCGCCGCCCCCGCGTCGTGGAGACGGTGGCCCTCGTTGTGACCTACGGGTGCCGCCCGGACTGCGGGAGTACTGTCGGTTCTTGTAGGGCGACTGCCTCCTCCCCCCCCCGCGTGTCTCGGGAGCGGCCAAGAGGGGGGTGTTCAAGAGGGGGGGGTGCAAATCATGGCTGGCGGCACGTGCGCGGCCCAGCGGGGGGGCCAGCGACGTAATGAAATAAGAAGAGGCGCCATGACATCTGGGAAATATCATGGCCCCCGCCATGATATCCACCCCCACCTAGTCATCACCCCCCTCTTTTCCGCCCCCGAGTGTCATGGGGAGGGCGTCCTGTTTCGGCTGTCTTTGCTGTGTTGCCGAACAGGGCTCCGGTCCGGAGTCTCAGTGTTGGGATTGAGGTGAGCGCTGCGGCAACCGTCGCCGTGTTTGCAGGTTTGCTTCGGGTCTGCGTTGAAGGTGCATGCTGGTAGGTGGGGGTACGTGCAACGATCTCTCCTGGGACAGGATCCAGTCTTGGCGAAAACGAAGCAGAAATTCTGCCGAGGTTTGTCTTTCGTCGTTGGTCCGGTAGAGCGACCAATAGAGGATCGCCTGTCGTCGTAGTCACTGGTAGATGACCGTGGAGTTGGTCGAGTAGTCGGGCGACTGCTGGAGCCTGTGTGGAGCATCTGGCACCTTTCCCAATTCTTGCCCCTCCCAGATTTGAGCGCTGCACATATCACAGAATCGTGTCTGCTCGGTTGGTTATTGAGGTTGTGCTGGTTGCGCTCAAGTCGGTGGAGTTCGAGGTTGCCCAGAACTCGTTGACGAAGCCAGCCGTACGTTCGTTTCGGGTCGTTGGGAGTCATTTTGTTGTAGTGGGTCGTTCTTTTCGGGTCGTTGACTCCAGTGTTCTCGTGTCGGGTGGTTTGCGGCATTCCAATCGTAGATTGTCCCAGTCCACTTGTAGGTCGTCGTCCCGCATGCGTAGTAGTTGCAGACGCTCGAAGTCGTGCAGGGTGTCGTCGACTGCAGTGACTTTGGAGGACTGTAGTATCGCCCAATAGATTTGTCTGCCCTTGAGCATGCGAAAGGCTTTGCGCTCCTGAGCCGTGAGGTTCTTGATGCGGTAGCGTAGCTCAGAATTCAGAACAACAGTGAGTCCGGCTGCGAGTTTGCAGTCGATACTCTCGAAGTCGCCGCTGTCCTGAAGGTCCTCGTAGGTCGTTGCGGGTTGTTCTGCGACCACAAATTGTCGTCGCCGTCCGTCTCCGGTCGCTGAAACGGACCTTGGGCTTGGGGCGGAAAAACTCTACCTTGTTGCCACATCCTGCACACTTGAGATGACGCCTCTGCAGGATCTTATTCCACTCGCATGTGTTGCACTCGCTGCAACGGCTCCACATAGCCGCCATCGCTGAAACTGCCTCTGTGTTGGTCGATGGCCTTTCAAATCCGATTGTGTGAAAGACCAGAGTCCCTCAAGCGCTGCGTGGAAGCCCAGAGGCGAGCTCTGGAGGTGGGAGGGCGCCCGCTGGGGCACCACCACCGCTCGAGCCCAACTTGCTCGAGATGGGGAGGGGGGGCAGGGGAGAGGGAAGAGGGAGGGAGGGAGGGGGGGGAAAAGGGGAGAAGGGAGGGGAGGGGAGGGAGGGGGGAGGAGGAGAGGGGGAGGGACAGGAGGGGAGGAGGGAGCAAGGAGGAGGGAGGGGGGGGGGGAAGGGACGGGGACAGGAGGAGAGGGTTGGAGGGGGGGTCGCGCGGGCGCTTTGTCCGCGCCAGCGGCACGCGCGTGGATTCGGTGTGCGCCAGGCGTGCTCCCTGGGCAGGAGCGGCGCGCGGCGGCCGCCTCCCAGGAAGGGGGGGGAGGACACGGGGGGAGGAGGGCCCAGAGCAAACCCAAGGGGGCGCGGGGGGAAGGGGAGAGAGAGGGGAGGAGGACCAGAGCAGACCCAGAAGGCGGAGGGAGCGGGGGCGGGCGGGAGAGGGGGAGGGACCAGAGGGCACTCGAGGAACACCAGCGCTGCCGCAACGCACCCCCCCCGTCCCAGCTCCCCCTCGTCGTGTGCCCCCGCGAGCAGTCCATTTTCCCTGCGGGCGTTCGAGAGGCGAGCGCCTTCTGCAACTCATGCGAGAACCCCGCGCTGCCCGTTTTGTTACAGAAAAAAAAGCTCTGCCCTGCACCCCGTCAGACATAAGACATGCATGGAAGCAAGATCATACATTCAAGCGAGCGCCCAGCGAGAACCCCAATCCCGTGTTGACGGTTCGCCGGCGAGGTGCCGTGTGGATGCGCGTGGCCCTCCACTCCGCTGGACCTCCCAAGAGCCCACGTCAGTGGCGACGGTTGCGCAATTCGCAGCCACCCAGGGAGCAGCGAGGTCCCGTCTGGATGCGCGTGGCCCTCCACTACGCTGGACCTCCCAGGAGCCCACGAAAGTGGCGACTGTTGCGCAGTTCGCAGCCTCCCTGGGGGGCCGCCTCCGTCCAGGCAGGAGGAGAAGAGAGGAGGAGGCAGGAGGCAGGAGGAAAAAGGAAGGAGGAAGGAGGAAGAGGGGGTGGGGAAGAAGCGCGGGCAATACCCTGTGCAAAACGGGACCCCAGGACAGGAGGTCTGGGACGAATCGAGAGCGCGCCTGGCAATACCCCCAGCCCCGATGTCAGAAGAACCTGCCCTTCAGAGGTGTAGCTGCTGAACGCGCGTCCCCGTACTGCCAGAACTTGACGTGAGCTTGCATCTTCGGCGGGCTGCTCGCACCGCCGCGTCCGATCGCACCGCCTTGCCATGATGCTGTGCTGCACCGTGGCCTCCCCATCGCGCCGATGTCTGCGTCGAACTCATGGCGAACTCGTCGAGCCCGCGTCGACTACGTGTCGGATCCGCGCCGAAGCCCACTGCAGCCCACGTCGAATGCGCAGCGAGCCCACGGCGGATACCAGACATGGCCGCCTTTGCCAGGACGGGCAGGGCCCCCCCGCATACGCACTCTGAGATGGGCCCAAAGGCATCCAGCACACAGTCCGGGCCTTGAAGAAGGAACCCTTTTCGTTGGGGAGGGGCTCCGCGTTCCTTACGTGTTTCACAATTTGCCTTGGGTTTTCCTTATGTTTTCGATCGGAAATCGAAGTTTAACTTATGGGAGAAAAGGGGCCTCGTTCCTTATTTAGGGTTCCTTAGGTCAACGCCCCGACTGTACCACAGAGGTTTCAACCCGATACGCATCAGGAGGACCCCCAAGAGAGCATCCCTGACCTGCGCATGGTTCCGAGTGGCCTTCGCCTTCTCGCCCCTGTTCATGCTTCGGGCGGGCCCCGAGACTGGCCAGGGGCGGCCCAACAAGCAGGAGACGGCCCCGGGGGGCCCTCGAGACGACCAAGAGGGCCCCGAAGCGGGGGTGGCCCAAGAGTGGCCCAAGAGAGGCCCGAGAGGCGGAACTCGCAGAAGGCCCCCAGGAAGCCCCCCGAGGGCCCTCCGCGGAGGCATGGAGAGGCTCCAAGGTGCCGCCCCCATGGGCGAACAGGAGGCCCTGAAGGAGCCGCGCAACAAACGCAGAGGAAGATTGCACGGATCAACAAGACTTGCGAACAGGCAACACTACGGGATGCGGCACAGAGAACATACGAAGCCAGAAGCCGCACAGATCCTCTTCCTGGGGTCGGCGGAAAGGCGTAATCCTCTTGAGTCATGTCGAAGGGGGTCGCAAGCGAGAAGCGAACACGCGCGGCTCTGAGTCGAGAGCCGTGTTTCAAGCACGGCTCGCCCCACATCGTTGACGCGGCTTTGAGCTCATCAGACCACTGCTCGCGGCGCCACGGCCCGAGGTCATTCTGAAAGCGACCCGCCCTCCGCCCTCCAAGCTGTTGGAGCTGCCCTACCTCGGGATCAAAGCCAGTCGAGAAACACGAGGCGGAATGCCTGGCACGCCCAACCAGACCGTCGTGTAGGGCGACGGTGATGAGTTGAATCGTTGATGACAGGGAAGAGGAATGAAGGAGGAAGAGGGGGAATCATCAGGGGGAAGCGCAGGGGGGGAAGGAGGGCGGGAAGGAGGATAGGGAGGATGAAGATTTAGAGAGTCGGATGAACGGTCTGGAGCAGAAGGGATGATAACAGAGCAGCGAGGGAAGAAAGAGCGGGATGAGGGATGAGCAACAAGGAAACAAGAAGGAGCAACACACGCGCTGGTTGAATTGCGCTCAAGGGAGCGCCTTCAGCGCCCCCGGAGCATGGCGGCGTTATCCGGCTGGCACTCTGGGAGTGGAGGTCAGGACGAGGAAACGCACCCCTCCCTCCTCCGCTCTCCTGCCGAGTACTGCACGCGGCGATCGAGGATGGATGCAGGTAGAGGGGAACTGGAACACACAGATAAATACACACAAATAAAAATATCCCCCATATTTTCCCATATTTTCTGGGTTTTGGTCTTCCCCACCACTTCCCATATTTTTGCATATTTTCCTGGGAGTCGACGATTAATTGTGTCTGTGTGTTTCTTTCCCTCCTGAGCAGTGGGCGTAGCCTCCAAGGCCTCTGAGGGACTCTGGAGACGTCCAGGGTCAGGACCTGGCGCCGTTCTGAAAACTGCCATCCGTCGCTCCTGTACCCAATCCTTTGTGGGCCCCGGAAACGGCAGGGCCGTGTTTTCACCGTTTCCCAAAAAAGTGCCCCTTGAACATGGAAACGGCAAAAAAACGGCGACCGGAAACGGCAAAAAACGGCTCCAGGATTGGAACCGGAGCCGGAACCGGTCAAACAACGGCAACGGAACCGGTAAAAAAACGGCGTCGGAACCGGCGAAAAAACGGCAGAACGGAACCGGTTAAAAAACGGCCCTGTCGTTTCCAGGGCCCACTAAGTCCTGTACCCAATCCACCTCACTCCAACACCTCCCGCTCCTCCTGCTGGCCCTCCTCATTGCCCTCCTCCTCCGCCTCCGCCGGAGCAGGCCGAGGGCCACCGACACACCCCAGGCCTCCCGCGCACGCCCACGGCGATCTCTGGGGCTCTCGCCCCCCGTCATCCGCACCTGCGCGGATCTTGCCCCGTGGGCTCTTTTCCGCCGGTCCCAATTCCGTTGGCTTGTTTTTTGTTTCATATGCATAGAAGGATGGAAACGACAAAAACACTCATACGTTCAAGAAGAGAAAGGAGACCCTGCAGAAGTGGAGGAGAGCCCAGAATCGAATCGACTCGTCGGATCGGCGATCGGATCGGTGGAAATCGGCAGCCAAGTCGAGAGAAGTCGCGAATCGGCAGAAATCGGCAGGCTGGTCGGCCTCCACTGAGGAATCGGCGTCCGAATCGGAATCCAAAGCCGAACCGAGTCGGCATCGGAGGCCATCGAAATCGAGTCGAACCGAAAACCAGCCCTGTCCGTGCACGCGCTGCCTGGGGGACACTGCGAGCCTGGCCGCTCCGCTGGCCGGGCAGGGGAGCGGGGCCCGCCCAAGAAGCCTCAGGACGACGGCACTGCGCGGTCCAGGGCGCGCGCCCCGCGTGGCAAGCCGGCAATTCGGCCTCGGCCCTCTGGGGAAGCCTCGGCCTCGCGTTAGGTCGGGCGTGTCCCCGTACAGGCGGATTGGGACGGAGCATAAAACAAAAGTTCTACGATGTTCAAGCATAGTTCAAACAACGACCCGAAACATCGCCCCGAGACTACGTGTATGTTTTTTTTTTTCCATCTTGAAATGCTCCTCCGGTAGAGGGGCATGTCCGACTTGAGACAAGGGGGCGGGGAAGGACCAAGACGACGACGCGAGGCGAGGCGAGGCGCACAGAGGCGCCCCTCTGCGAGAAAGAACATTTGGGGCAGCGCCTCGGCGCTGCGCGGGGCGGCCGTGGCCGCAAGGCTCAGGTGTGGAACACGTCGGCGACGCCGCACGTGCTTGCGCGCTCCGGGGGAGAAGAGTCGGGTCGGGCGCGTCCTCCGACAGTCGAGGCGTTGGCCTAAGGAACCCTGAATATGGAACGAGGGGCCCCTTTTTCCCCTAAGTTCAACCTCGATGTCCTATGGGATCCTATGGGAAACCTCAGGAACACCCGAGGCAAACTCTGAAACAACCAAGGAACACCGAGCCCCTCCCCAACGAAAAGGGTTCCTTCTTCAGGGCCCCGACTGTACAGGCGGAGTCTGGAAGACAAATGAGTACTTGTCAAACAATATCCAAACAGAGTCAAAAGAGCACGACGAATCGTTACCAAACTATGCTTACATCATTCTTGTATCATCCTCCTGTACAGTCGAGGCGTTGACCTAAGGAACCCTGAATAAGGAGCGAGGCCCCTTTTTCCCATAAGTGCAACCGCGATGTCCTAAGGGATCCTATGGAGAACCTCAGGAAAACCCGAGGCAAACTCTCAACCAATCAAGGAACACCGAGCCCCTCCCAACGAAAAGGGTTCCTTCTTCAGGGCCCCGACTGTACAGGCGGAGACTGGAAGACAAATGAGTACTTGTCAAACAATATTCAAGCATAGTCAAAAGAGCACGACGGATCGTCACCGAACTATGCTTGCATCATTCTTGTATCATCCTCCTGTAAGGGGCGTGTCGGCATGTCCTTAGTGGGCCCTGGGAACGGCAAGGTCACCGTTTCCGTAGAGATGTCTCTTGAATCTGGAAGCGGTACGAAAAAGGCAACGGCAAACAAAAACAGCTCCGGAATCAGGCTTGGAACCAGAACCTAAGAAACAAACACGGCGACGGAAGCGGCAAGCGAATGGCCAAACGGCACCCGCAACAAAAAAACGGCATAACGGAACCAATATTAAAACAACGGCCCTGTCGTTTCCATCCGGGGCCCACGAAGGTCGGGCCGGCCGAAAGGGGGGGATAGCCCAGGAGGGGGATGAGAATCAGCTCACGTAGCTGACTTTCTCGGCGCCTCCCGGCGCCGGAGGCGGCCATGTATCGAGGAATGGGCCCCTCGGCGGGGCCGAAACCAGCTGCATGCAGCAGATTTCGCAACACCCCCCTTCCCAATCCCCGCCATGTCGTCCGGCCCGAGAAGGACATGCCCGACTGAAAACTTTCACGGGCGAAGAACGGTGTGACATAGACTTCCTCGCTGCCGGGGGCGCCTGTCCCAGGGCGGCTGGACAGCTTATACCCCTACGAAGGCACCGTAGGGGCACAAACTTTCCAGCCGCCCAGGGGCAGGCGCCCCCCCGTTAATTCCATCTTCTGCCGTTCTTCGCCCGACTGAAAACTGGCGGCGGGGGCTGCGGCCAGCCACCGACGCGCGCTGGCGGCGGGGAGAGCGGCGAGGCCGCCGGCGCGCGTCGGGGGGGGGGCCGCGCCTTGCCGCTCTCACTCCGCCGCGGCGGCGGGGCAGCGCTCGGCCTCCGCACGACGGCGCCCCGGGCGGCGGCGGCGGCGGCGGCGGCGAGGGCGGCGCGGACGCCGAGGGCCACGGCGGCGGCGGCGGCGGTCCAGGAGGGCCCCCAGAGGCCCAAATTGATTGTCCTTGGGCTTTTGAAGGATTTGGGGGTGTGCTTCTTCTCGGCACTCCGACGGCGCAGGCCGGCCCAGGAGGCCCCCGAGATCGACGCTGACGGCCACGGCCTCGACGGCGACGGCGGCGGCGGCGACGACGCGTCGGCCTCCCAGGCTGCCCCTGCCGGGGCGGCGCCGGAGGCGGCGGAGGCGGCGGCGAGGGGCGCTGCCCAGGCGCGCCTGGGGCGCGCGGGCGGCCGCGCCGACGACGACGGCGGCGGCGGCTCGCTGGCGCGCCAGCTGCCTGTGCTTCGACGAGGAGGGCCATAGGAGGGCAGGGAGGCGCCGCGAGCTGCTCCCGTGGGTCCTGCTCGGTTCCCGAAGTGTTTTGGGGGCGAGAAAAAATGTTTAGAGCTGTTCCGTGCTGTTGCGCCTCTTCGGGGGTCCTCGTCGCGACGGCTCGATTCGCCTCGAAGTTCCTATCGGAGGGAACTCCTGGAAAGCTCTGGAGGTAGACTGTGGCTCAGATCCCAAGGCTCCAAGCTTTGCGAGACAACCGACGCCGTCGGCTTACTTGGGCTTGGGGCGATCATCGGGCCCCTGGGCCATGAAACAGGCAGCGCAGATAGAGAAACTGGCACCAGGGCCCATGGGCTGAGGCCTCGAGCCACATGGGCTCATGCCGTGCAGCAGCGCCAAGACGTCGAAGGTGCGGGTCCTGGTCCCTCCGTCGCTCTGCTTCTGCTGCCGCAGCTGCCCCGGCTGCTGCTGCTCCACGTTCCTCTCGACGCGCCACCGGGCCCCGTGGAGGAGGCCCCTGGGATCCCCCAGGGGGCTACGGAGGTCTCGGCGGCCTCAGAAGGCCCCAGGGGGCAGCGGGGAGGTCTAGTGAAAACGCCCCGGGAGGCCACATAACGTCTTCGCATGACAAGCTACACCCGGCAGGAGGGAGGAGGGAGGAGGAAGGAGGGAGGAGGAGGGAGGAGGAGGAAGGAGGAAGAGGAGGAGGAGGAGGAGGAGGAGGAGGAGAAGGAGAAGAAAGGAGGAGGAGGAGGAGGACGAGGAGGAGGAGGAGAAGGAGGAGGAGGAGGAAGAGGAGAGGAGGAGGAGGAGGAGGAAGAGGAGGAGGAGGAGGAGGAAGGAGGAGGAGGAGAGGAAGAGGAGGAGGAGGAGGAGGAAGGAGGAGGAGGAGGAGGAGAGGAGGAGGAGAGGAAGACAGGGGGAGGAGGACAGGGGGAGGAGGACAGGGGGAGGAGGACGACGAGGAGGAAGTGGTGGTGGTGGTGGTGGTGGTGGCTGGCCACGCAGGCAAGTTAGAAGATGCCCTCGCCGGAGGCCTCCGAGACATTGTCGGGGCCCCCACCGCCACCCCGACTGGCCGAGTTCCTCGACTCGGTCCAAGTCGGCGGCACGCAGCCCAAAGGCCGACGGGGCAGACGCCCGCGTCGGCAGCAAGAAATACCATCCCGCGGCAGCCCCACCCATGGCGGGGCCCGGGCCTGCGGAGGGCAGCAGCAGCGAGCTCTTGATCTCGAGCTCCGCCCTCTCCTCTAGAGGAAAGAGAACTATGCACATACACTGATTCTGGCCAGGCCCATCCTGAGCCCAGGATCGGTGCATACGCCCTCTACCTTGGCCAGGAAGGTATATGCACCGATCCTGGGTCAAGGAGGGGCCTTGCCAGGATCGGTGCATGTGCATAGTTCTCTTCGCCCGATCCTCAGCACCCAGAGACACTGGCTGGCTGAGCACGAGGGCCTGTGAAGCGCGCCGATCGTGGGGGTGCTTCCCCCCGCTTGATGCGCCTCAGATAAGACCTGACCTTCGGGCCCGCTGGCCTCCGCTCACACCGCGACAGCAGCAGACCGCCAGGCTTCCCCGAGGTGTAGCCTCCACACCTGGAACAAACAACCTTGCCCGAATCCGTGGACGGCCCCTCGAAGTGGCACTTGAGCAGGCCATGCCAGCGGAAGTTAAAGGCATTCAGGGCGTCGTCGGCCCACAGGTCACCGTCTCCGTCCAGCCCGCCCACCTCCACGACGACATCCGACGACGGCCCCCCCCTCCATCACTGTCAGGGGGGGGGGCGGCAGCTCCGAGGGAGCGTGCTCCTCGGCGGCAACGCCTACCGCATCGCCCCTGCCGCCCTGCTGGGCTAGCCAGACCTCGAGCCTGCCCGCCCACCTCCCCTGCTCTTGACAAAAGGGCCTTGGACCCTCTGATCAAGCAGGCGTGCTCTTCCGCGACACCACGCACTGCGGCCCCTGCTTCGGCACGGCGGCCCGCGGACTGGTGGGCACGAAGTTCCCACCAGGTCGTCTTGCCAGACTCCACGTCGGCACTGCCCGCGTGGGCCAGCGTTTTGAAAGCTCCAAAATCTTCACTGGAAAACGCAGCCCCAAATGGCACACGCGTCCCAAAATCCTCCCCCATCCCCCTTCTCCTCCTCCTCCTCCTCCTCCTGCTCCTCCTCCTCCTCCTCCTCCTCCTCCTCCTCCTCTTGGGGCCCACGCCTCGGTCCCCGTGTCTAGGCCCCCGCAGAGAGCATGGAGCGTCGACTGACATTCAAGATAAACAATTGGAACGGCCCCCTCCCAACATGCGACAGCATGTGGATCGCGAGCTCTTCTCCGTAATTGGCAGTCTGGCGGGGGCCGAACGACGAGGGCACGGGGCCATGCGCTGCGTGCAACACATTGCCGAGCCTGTCAACATGCGCCAGCGCCCAGCCCGCCCGACTGACTTTTGCGATCGACGGCCACATGGCCGAACCGTCGCGGAAGATGCATCCCGTCAGGAGACCACGCGCAGGCCTGTTCACCCACTTGACAGCTTCATCGGACAATCGCGGAGCGTAAACACCAGGGGGCGAGGGAGAACACACCTAGCGAACCGCCCCCCCGCCTCGACCCCTTGCTCGAGGGCTCTGGCCGCGCGCTCCCTCAGCCACGGCGAGACTCCATCCCTCCCGAGGCCTTCGTGCGCCAAGCGTTCATGCAGTCGGGGGCTTGACCTGAGGAGCCCAAAATAAGGAACGAGGCCCCTATTTTTTCCATGAGTCAAACTCAGATTTCCTATCGAAAACATAAGGAAAACCTGAGGCAAGCTGCGAAACAATCAAGGAACACCGAGCCCCTCCCCAACGAAAAGAGTTCCTTCTCCAGGGCCCCGACTGCACTGCCCATGCCAGAGCGTGCCACAAAAAGCCTGACACAACCGACGCGCAGGCGACGCGCACAGCCCTTGTCCGCGCGCGCTTGCTGGCGGCCAGTGCGCGTTGCAAAGCGGGGCCCTGAGGGCGCGCTGGCGGCGGCTGGACCAATCCTTTTTCCTGCCGCGGCGGAGCTGGCGCAGCCCCCACCAGAAAACAACAGAAAAAACATCACGGTGGCCTCTGGGGCCCTCGCTCCCGAGGAGCCCCGAACTGTCCGAAGCGAAGCGGTCCGGCGCCCTGATGGCCCCGCCCTGCAACGGCTCTCTAAGTTTCGACGGCGAGGGCTGGCGCGGGGTCCACGCGCGCCCGGAATCGCTCATCAGGCGAGCGCTGGACAGAAATCGCCAGCCGATCCTAGACACGGCGGGGTAAGCAACTTCCGCTGGCGACGAGGCGACCCGGCGCAGGTGACGGAAACGCCCCAGTTTGCCGAGAGCCGCACCCATGGTCGCACCTGACGCCGCCGAGGAGGGGAAGCTATCCCACACGGTCGAGGCCCACTGATACACCACGTGCCCCGTATCGGCAGCCAGCGGGTCTGCCAACGCTCCAAGCCTGCACGAGCGGAGCCTGGACCCAAGACTGGATCCTTTCGGGGGCTCCCCATATGCTACGGACAGCAGAAATACGCAGGCCATGCAAGGCCGACGGGGGGGGGCCCAGTAACAGTGCCTCCCCAGAGCGCCGCCGCAGTAGCCCCAACCCTTTGGATGCGGCTTGCATCCGCACCCGCGCTCTGCAAGATCTGCAACCGCTGGCCCCTAGATTTGGCAGCAACGAACCTACCCCTGGCAATGCCGACTGGGCGACTAGACCCCGAAGACGCTTTCGTGCCAAGATTCCGAGCCGAACTCACCCTGGACGAGGACGGGATCCTCCATTGATCCCTGAAATACCTGGACACCTCCTGGCTACAAATATACTTGGTCTTGCTCA